GCATATTCACTAAACTATTAATCCAGAAACTCAGCTAATAATCTGAGGACCCAGGTTCAAATCCCATCACGACAGATGGGTGCAATTTGGATTCATTTTTTAAATCTGGAATTAAGAATCTACTGATGACCATGAAACCATTGTCGATTGTCAGAAAAACATATCTCGTTCTGAAGGCTGCGCAGGAGCAAACGTAGACACGGGCACTGCTGGGTAAGTGAGCTAATATATTTGGGCAGTGGCTAAACCCGAAACACTACATGTGTAGTGACTCCCACCCATCCTCCTCCTCTAACCAAAGAAAAGACTCTGTGTGGGGGGTCGGTAAGGTGGTGTTTTTCTTTTTTTCTTCTTTCTCTTTATCTCTTTTGGCAACTTAGAGCAGAGGGGATGGAATCTAGGGCAGTTGCGTGCTCCTCTTGTAGGAGGTGGGAAGTAAGGGTCACCAATAGTTTCCCTGCTGACTTCACCTGTGAGAAATGCACCCAACTCCAGCTCCTCACAGACCACATTAGGGAACTGGAGCTGGAGCTGAATGAACTCTGGATCATTCGGGAGGTTGAGGAGGTGATAGAGAGGAGTTATAGGGAGGAAGTCACACCTAAGTTACAGGATAGAGGTAGCTGGGTGACTATCAGGAGAGGGAAAGGGAACAGGGAGACAGTGCAGGGATCCCATGTGGCCGTTCCCCTCTATAATAAGTACACCACTTTGGATACCATTGTTGGGGGGAACGACCCAACAGGGGAAAGCTATAGCAGCCGGGTCTCTGGCACTGAGCCTGGCTCTGTGGCTCAGACGGGAATGGGGGAAAATAGGAGAGAGTGTTAGTGATAGGAGATTCACTGGTTAGGGGAACAGACAGGAGATTCTGTGGTCCTGAGCGAGGGTCCCGGATGGTATGTTGCCTCCCAGATGCCACAGTCAGGGATGTCTCGGATCGAGTCTACAGGATTCTTAAGGGTGAGAAGCCAGAAGTTGTAGTACACATCAGTACCAATTACACAACTAGGAAAAGGGATGAGGACCTGATAAGTGAATATAGGGAGTTAAGTTGGAAGCTAAAAGGCAGGACGAGCAGATTAGTAATCTCAGATTTACTACCGGTGCCATGGGCTAGTGAAGCCAGAAATAGACAGCGAGTGCAGCTGAACACTTGGCTACAGAGCTGGTGTAGGGGGGAGGGCTTCAGATATGTGGATCATTGGAATATCTTCTGGGGAAGGTGGGATCTGTACAATAAGGATGGGTTGCACCTGAAGTGGAGGGGCACCAATATTCTGGGCAGGAGGTTTGCTAGAGCTCTTTGGGAGGGTTTAAGCTAGTTTGGCAAGGGGGTGGGAACTGGAGCTACGGATCAGAGGATGGGAAACTGGTGTACAGGTAGATACAGCATACAGAGAGTAGGGAGGATAGACAGCTGATGAGGCAACATTGCAGTCAGTGTGATGAGTTGAAGTGTGTCTATTTTAATTCAAGAAGTGTCAGGAATAAGGGTGACAAACTAAGAGTATGGATCCGTACTTGGAGCTACGATGTTGTGGCCATTACAGAGACTTGGATAACACAGGGGCAGGAATGGTTGTTGGATGTTCTGGGGTATAGATGTTTCAATAGAAATAGGGAGGGGGAGGTAAAAAAGGTTGGGGAGTGGTATTGCTAATCAGGGATGGTATCACAGCTGCAGAAAGGGAGGTCGTGGAGGAGGGTTTCTCCACTGAGTCAGTCTGCGTGGAAATCAGAAATGGGAAAGGAGTAGTCACTTTATTGGGATTTTTCTATAGACCCCCCCAACAGCAACAGAGACACTGAGGAACAGATTGGGAGGCAGATTTGGAAAGGTGCAGAAGTAATAGGATTGTTGTCATGAGTGACTTCAACTTCTCTAATAGCGACTGGAACCTCCTAAGTGCAAATAGTTTGGATGGAGCAGATTTTGTCAGGTGTGTCCAAGAAGGATTTCTGACTCGATATGTAGATAAGCCGACTAGAGGGGAGGCCATATTGGATTTGGTGCTTGGCAACGAACCAGGCCAGGTGTCAGATCTCTTGGTGGGAAAGCATTTCGGCGATAGTAATCACAACTCCCTGACTTTTACTATAGACATGGAGAGGGATAGGAGCAGGCAGTATGGGAAAGTATTTAATTGGGGGGAGGGGGAATTACAATGCTATTAGGCAGGAACTGTGGAGCATAAATTGGGATCAAATGTTCTCAGGGAAATGCACGATAGAAATGTGGAGGTTGTGTAGGGAGCAGTTGCTACAAGTACTGGACAGGTTTGTCCCACTGAGGCAAGGAAAGGATGGTACGGTGAAGGAACCTTGGATGACAAGACATGTGGAACATCTAGTCAAGAGGAAGAAGGAAGCTTACTTAAGGTTGAGGAAGCAAGGATCAGACAGAGCTCAAGAGGTCTAAAAGGCAGCCAGGAAGGAACTGAAGAATGGACTTAGGAGAGCTAGAAGGGGGCATGAAAAAACCTTGGCGGGTAGGATTAAGGAAAACCCCAAGGCGTTCTATGCTTTTGTGAGGAACAAGACGATGGCCAGACTGAGGGTAGGGCCAATCAGGGATAGTGGAGGGAATTTGTGCCTGGAGTCGGAGGAGGTAGGGGAGGTCCTTAATGAATACTTTGCTTCAGTATTCACTAAGTGAGAGGGATCTTGTCATTTGTGAGAACAGCGTGAAACAGGCTGACATGCTCAAACAGGTTGATGTTAGGAAGGAGGACGTGTTAGAAATTTTGAAAAATATGAGGATAGATAAGTCCCCTGGGCCAGACGGGATATGCCAAGGTTACTATGGGAAGCGAGGGAAGAGATTGCTGCACCTTTGGCAATGATCTTTGTGTCCTCACTGTCCAGTGGAGTAGTACCAGATGATTGGAGGGTGGCAAATGTCATTCCTTTGTTCAAGAAAGGGAATAGGGATAATCCTGGAAATTACAGACCAGTCAGTCTTACTTCTGTGGTGGGTAAATTTTGGAGAGGATTCCAAGAGACAGTATTTACGATTATCTCTAATCAAACTATGTTTTCCCAAATAGTCAGCATGGCTTTGCGAGGGGCAGGTCTTGCCTCACAAGTCTTATTGAATTCTTTGTGTTTTGTCACATTCTCATCGATTAGGGTAGAGCAGTGGATGTGGTGTATATGGATTTTGGCAAGGCATTTGATAAGGTTCACCATGGTAGGCTCATTCAGAAAGTAAGGAGGCATGGGATTCAGGGATATTTGGCTGTCTGGATACAAAACTGGCTGTCCAATAGAAGACAGAGGGTGGTAGTAGATGGAAAGTATTTAGCCTGGAGCTCCATGACCAGTGGTGTGCTGCAGGGATCTGTTCTGGGACATCTGCTCTTTGTGATCTTTATAAATGACTTGGATGAGGAAGTGGAAGGGTGGGTTAGTAAGTTTGCCGATGACACGAAGGTTGATGGAATTGTGGATAGTGTGGAGGGCTGTTGTAGGTTGCAATGGGACATTGACAGGATGCAGAGCTGGGCAAAGAAGTGGTAGACGGAATTCAACCCAGAGAAGTGTGAAGTGATTCATTTTGGAAGGTCGAATTTGAATGCAGAATACAGGGTTAATGGCAGGATTCTTGGCAGAGTGGAGGAACAGAAGGTGTATGGTGTGTTGGCTTTCATTGGGAGGGGGACTGAGTTTAACAGCTGCTAAGTCATGCTGCAGCTCTATAAAACCCAGGTTAGACCACACTTGGAATATTGTGTTCAGTTCTGGTCGCTTCATTGTAGGAAGGATGTGGTAGCTTTAGAGAGGGTGTAGGACATTTACCAGGATGCTGCCTGGACTAGAGGGCAGGCCTTATGAGGAAAGGTTGAGGGAGCTAGGGCTTTTCTCATTGGAACAAAGAAGGATGAGAGGTGACTTGATAGAGGCGTACAAGATGATGAGAGGCATAGATAGAGTGGAGAGCCAGAGGCTTTTTCCCAGGGTGGAAATGACTATCACGATTATAATTATAAGGTGATTGGAGGAAGGTGTACAGGAGATGTCAGAGGTAGGTTCTTTACACAGAGAGTGGTGGGTGCATGGAATGCATTGCATTGGTAGTAGAGTCAGACACATTAGGGACATTTAAGCGACTACTGGATAGGCACATGGATGATTGTAAAATAAAAGGTATGCAGGTTAGTTTGATCTTAGAGTAGGATAATAGGTCGGCACAACATCTTGGGCTGAAGAGCCTGTACTGTGCTGTACTGTTCTATGTTCTCTAATGTCCTTCAGGGAAGGAAATCTGCCATCTTCACCTGGTCTGGCCTACATGTGACTCCAGACCCACAGCAATGTGCTTGACTCTTGAGTACCCTCTGAAATGGCAAGCCACTCAGTTCAAGGGCAGCAAGGGACAGGCAATAAATGTTGGCCAGGCAGTGATGCCCACATCCCATGATTGAATAAAAAGAAAGAAATTTGATATAATGGAACATGGTGGCAACCAAGGTCTGGACTATGGTTTTACCAGCAGTTGAGTTGATGCAGGGTCAGAGACAGGAAATACAATAAAAGTAGCAATGAGTACTCTTTCTGACGGAGCACCAAGATTGAAAACATAAGTCAGGAATCAGGAAGCCAAAAGTGTGTGGAGTTTTCTACAAGAACCATAATGGCTCAATTCTCCCAATGTTTAACCAGAATGAGCTGGAGATGGCATGAAGGGATACAAGGAAGATAATGGAGAAAATTGTGAAGGATGTGGGCTCTGCGCTAGAGTCAGATGAAGCAGCACCTTGAAAGAGGCTCAGCCTGGTGGGCAAGGGGAAGGAAGGTAAAGCACCAATAATAGGTGACCATATTAACTTGCCTTTTCTAAATTATCCAGTATTGAATGGGTTTAACAAATCAGAGTGAATATACCTCTAATTACAGTTGCGATCCTATTTGAGGGAGCATTCTACTAGGTAGAGCTGTCTATGGTGCTGAAATTTGAATTCAATGATAAATACATATTTAGAACCAGATGTACTTACCAATGTTATCCTTCTCTTTGCAGGATACTGAATAACAACAGATTTCTCGATCCTGGATAGCAGATAGATTCCTAAGAATAAAGATATGCAGTATAAATCCAGGAAAATGTACTTCAATATTAATAAGTGGCTTCTAAATCAAACTAGCACAAGCGAATCCATTAAGTTTATTTCAGAAAGAAACTTGTATAGCCTGCTGCCATGGATACGAAGGTCCAGACTTTCTATGGGAACTACACTCACTAAGTGTTTACTTTGTTAAGATTATTTTGTTTTGCGTATACATTTGTGTGTCCAAACTGCAAGCTGCCCATCATTCTGCACTATTACAGGTCCCCAAGACTCAATTCAACTAAGCTCAGTCTAATTCCTAATATTCCAAGAATATTGTGACATAATTATACACAACCAGAATACAGGAGATTGGGACATTGTCCTATCGATCAAGCCTGGTGATAACATTGCTACAAGAAGAAATGATTTTGTGTATAATATTTGTAAGCTTCTCATTCTTCATTTACATTCTTTGTTGGAGAGATGACAATGCTTTTATCAGTATACATTGGTATCATTTCAGTTCTAAGTTCTATTTACTGTAGTTCATTAAAGTATTTTCTCATCACCCTGTAGATTTCTTGATGTGGTGCACTGCTTAAATAGGCTTGATTTTCTGCATAATTAGACTTGATTTCAATTTAAAATGGACTGTCTACAACTCATTCCATGACATGGGGATATCAAGAGACACAGTGCCCAATGGAGACCAGGGGGTCTCTTGTGGTGGAGAGGTAGTGTCCCTACCTGTGGACTGGCAGACCTAGGGTCAAGTCCCAGCTGCTCCAAAGGTGTGTAATAACATCTCTGAACAGATTAATTAGAAAATAAAAGTTAAGTTTAAAAAAATTCTTCTTGGAGACCAGGAATCCTGTTTAAAATATATGGCTTGACCCAGAAAAGTCTACAGGGTCAGAACACCTGTTCTGACCAAGATATCTCTGGAATCTGCCAAAATGGAAAATTCTAGTCTCTCTGGAAGAAAGGTGTGAGATTATGATGATGCAAATCTAATCCATTTATTACCACTTGTACTTCACATTTGATTATATCCTGAAAAAATAAAGGCTTACATTTTTTCAATTAGCTGTTTCTCGTCCAAAGCATTAGGAAGGTCTCTCTTATTTCCCAAGACTAACACCTATATAAAAAAAAACACAAGTTGATTAAGTTGAATGAAGAACTTTCAGATCAGTCTTCATGGTATTATTGTTTGTCTTTTCCAAATAGGTTTTGTTAGTTTTGAACTCTAAACCTTTCTTTACACCTGAGGCATTGTAGTAATGATTCTGATTTAATCAAATAACTGTGCAGAACAGTAAAATTAGGTATGAAAGGTTGTATCTGAGAAGGCTTTGACAGGTCTTGTTAGAGGAAGTGAGATGCAAGAATTAAACAGTTATTCTTCAGAAGCAGTCAGCAAATTCCCAGATGAACTTTGTACCCCTAGAAGTTAGCTTCAGTATTAATCTGTAGGCAAACCTTGTACAAACAAGAAGTTAGCATTAACAAAACATTTCAAAGTCAAATGGAGTTTAGAGAGAGGGAGGTGACAATCACTGATAAGGATTTGGGCAGGCCACAATAAGATTAAATGATCCATTACTCAATAAAGTAAATATTAACAACATGAACCTATGATCTAAAATGGGCATCTGTTTCTTATGTTTCTATGAAGCAAAATTGGAATTCAGATAATGAAGATGCGTATGTGACCACAATTGTATAAGAATACTAAATTTCTCTTTGTATTTCTCAGAGTCTTTCTCCAGTTAGACTGGAACTTTGCTCTCCATGTGCTTTACTTGATTAAATGATCATGAACCTGTACTCAGTTTCAGAGGTCAATTATTGGAAGTTTAAACACACTTACAGCACAAAAGCTGGAAAGCAATTTACTCATGGAAAATTACAATCCTTTACCATTTAAAATCAAATTCTATTATCATTTTGCCAAATCTAAAACTAGGAGTTCATTTTGTATTTTGTCCAACTGTCAACTGAATAGTAATATTTATCTTTTCATTGGTTTCTCTATTCGTTAGACTTATTTTATAACCTTAAAATGTACCAGAGGAGAAAGTAGGTGACACAGTGCATAGGAATGCCATCTTTCAATTCTGGTAGAAGTAAAATTATTTGGAGTACAAATCTCTTTCTGCGCCTGTGTCCTTATTTGGGCGAGCAGTTCCGGGTAAAATGGACCATTGTAAAATTCCAAAGCTAAGCTCTATTTAAGTCTCTATTCAATAGCCTCTAAAATAGTTAAAGCAAATCAGGAGGGTAATAAAAAGACATGAGAGCTTGGCAAATAGGGTTAAGGTGAATGCAAATCGATTCTGCAAATACATTAAGCACAAAAAAGTAACTTGGGAGAGAATAGGACCCCTTAAGAATCAATGAGGTTGTCTATGTGTGGAACCAGAGCAGATGGGTGAGATACGAAACAAATATTTCACGTCAGTACTTACTATGGAGAAGGACATGGAAGCTAGGGAACTTGGGGAAATAAATAGCAATATCTTGAAAAGAGTCCATATTACAGAGGAGGTGGTGCTGGAGGTCTGAAAGTGCAAAAAGGTAGATATATCTTTGGGACTTGATCAGGTATATCCCAGAACTTTGTGGGAAGCTAGGGAAGAGATTGCTAGGCCCCTTGATGAGATATTTATATAATTGACAGACACGAGTGAGGTGCTGGAAGATTGCAGGACAGCTAATGTGGTGCCAATATTTAAGAATGGTGGTAAGGAAAAGCCAGGGAACTATCGACTGGTCAGCTGACTTCAGTGGTGGGTAAGTTGTTGGAGAGGATTCGGCAGGACAGGATTTACATGCATTTGAAAGGCAAGGACTGATTAGGGATAGTCAATGTGGCTGTGTGTGTAGGAAATAATAGCTCATTTACTTGATTGAGTTTTTTGAACAGCTAACAAAGGAGATTGAAGAAGGCAGAATGGTAGACATGGTCTACATGGACTTCAGCAATGCATTCAACAAGGTTCCACATCACAGATTGGTTAACAAGGTTAGATCACGTGGAATTCAGGGGAGCTAGCCAAGTGGATGAAAATTGGATTGAAGGTAGGAGACAGAGAGTGGTGGTACAGGAATGATTTTTGGACTAGAAACCTGTGACCAGGGGTGTGTCACAAAGATTGGTGCTGATTCCATTTTTTTTGTCATTTGTATAAATCATTTGGAATCAAATACAGTAGGTATGGTTAGTAAGTTTGCAGATGATACCAAAATAGGTGGTGTAGTGGACAGCAGAGAATGTCATCTCAGGGTAGAACGGGACCTTGATCAGTCCTCGGCCAACGTGAAGTGTTGCATTTTGGTAAAGCAAATCAGGGCAGGACTTATACACTTAATGGTAGAGCCCTGGGGAGTGTTGCCGAACAAAGAGACCTAGGAGTGCAGGTGCATAGGTCCTTGAAAGTAGAGTTGTAAGTAGACAGGGTAGTGAAAAAGGCGTTCAGCATGCTTGCCTTCATTGGTCAGTGCATTGAGTATAGGAGTTGGGACATCATGTTGCAGCTGTACAGGACATTGGTGAGGCCACTTTTAAAATATCGCATTCAATTCTGGTCTCTCTGCTATAAAAGAAATGTTGTTAAACTTGAAAAGGTTCAGAAAAGATTTACAAGGATGTTGCCGAGATAAGAGGTTTTCAACTATAGGAAGAGGCTGAATAGACTGAGGCTTTTTTTGCCCTTGGAGTGTCGGAGGCTCAGGGGTGACCTCATAGAAGGTTCTAAAATCATGAGGGGCATGGATAGGGTGAATGGACATGGTCATTTTCCCAGGGCAGGGCAATCCAAAACTAGAGGGCATAGGTTTAAGGTGAGAAGGGAAAGATTTATAAGGGACCTGAGGGGCAACCTTTTCACGGAAAGGGTGGTGCGTGTATGGAATGAGCTGCCAGAGGTGGTGGTGGAGGCTCGAACAACGTTCAAAGGCATCTGGATGGGTACATGAATAGGAAGGGTTTAGAGGGAGATGGGCCAAATGCTGGCAAATGGGACTAGGTCAATTCACGATAGCTGGTCTGTGCAGACGAGTTGGACCGAAGGGTCCAAATACGTGCTGTACAACTCTATGACTATAATTCATGCTGGTATGTTTGGAATGCTATTTCTTTTTCATTCATGGACGTAGTCATCACTGGCTGGGTCAGCATTTATTGCCCATCCCTAGTTTACCTTGAGAAGGTACCGGTGAGCTGCTTTCTTGAACTGCTGCAGTCTACATTAGGGAGGTAATTCCAGGATTTTGACCCACTGCCAGTGAATATTTTTCCAAGTCAGGATCATGAATGGCTTGGAGGGGCTCTTGCAGGTGGTGTATCTGCTGCCCTTTTCCTTTTAGAGGGAAGTGTTCATGATTTTGGAAGGTGCTGTCTAAGGATCTTTGGTGAATTTCTAGAGTGCAACTTGCAGATAGTATACACTACTGCTTCTAAGTGTCAGTGGTGGAAGGAGTGGATGCTTGTGGATGTAGTATCCTGGATGATGTCTAGCATATTGAGTGTTGTTGGGGCTGCACACATCCAGGCAAGTGAGGAGTATTCAATCGCACTCCTGACTTGTATCTTGTGTCTTGTAGAAGATGGGCCAACTTTTGGAAGTCAGGAGGCGAGTTACTTGCTGCAGTATTCCTAGCCTCTGATCTGCTCCTATAGCCACTATGTTTATGTGGCGAGTTCAGTTGAATTTCTGGAAAATGGTAACTCCAACGATGTTGATAGTGAGGGATTCAATGATGATAACACCAGTGAATGTCAAGAGGAGGTAGCTAGATTGTCTTTTATGGGCGATGGTCATTGACTGACATTTATAAGGTGTGAACATCACTTGCAAATTCTCAGCCCAACCTTGCATGTTGTCCAGATCTTGTTGCATTTGAATATGGACTGCTTCAGTAACTGAGCAGTCATGAATGGTACTGAACATTGCGCAATTATCAAACATCCCCACTTCTGACTTATGATGGAGGGAAGGTCATCAATGAAGCAACTGAAGATGGTTGAGTCCTGAGGGACTCCTGTAGAGATGTCCTGGAGCTGAGATGATTGACCTCCAGTAATCACAACCATCCTCCTACATGCCAGGTATGAATCCAACCGGTGGCGTGTCTGCCCCCAATGTGCACCAATTCCAATTTTGCTGGAGCTCCTTGATGCCACACTTGTTTGAATGTGACCTTGATGTCAAGGGCTATACTCTCACCTCACCTCTGGAATTCAACACTTTTGGCTATGTTTGAACCAAGGCTGTAATGAGGTCAGGAGCAGAGTGAATCAATATATTCCATGTCAATATATCTGTATATAGTTTGAGCCTCCCAGCTGTGGTTTTTGATGGTTGTAATGTGTGTACCATTCACTTTGTACCAATTTGGGCTGAAGTTAAAAACTTTGTCTCCCTCTACTCCTCTCCGCCCCATCGATATTTCCTAAAACATATCAGTACAGGTATAGGGATAATCCCACAATAACTGTGCATAGACCTTTACCTTACGCCTGTTGTACTGAACATTTGTAACTGTAACTAAATGATTCAAGGTGACTTTATTTGAGTGAAGTTTCAGGGATGCTCTGGGCAATTAACAATTGACAATAAACGTTGGCTTAGTCAGAGACACCCACATCCCATGAATGAATAAAAAACATTGGCTTTGCACAACCCTATTCATTCACTGAGATAGCAAGAACTGCAGATGCTGGAGTCAGGGATAACACAGTGTGGAGCTGGAGGGGCACAGCAGGCCAGACAGCACCAGAGGAGCAGGAAAGTTGATGTTTCGGGTCAGGTCACTCACTAATAGTTTAACTGAAACCCTTAAGTAGTCCACTGATGGCCACTTAATATCCTCTTTTCACAAATGCTGAAATACGTCCTCAAATGGGGGAGGCCCACATCAAACATCCAAGCTCCTGTTTGGGCATTTGAGTCCATCAGGAGCTCCTCCACCCCCACCCCGTCCAACATTAAAGTTCTCAACCCAAAACCAAACCAATGAAGTTTCAAAGTTAAAGATGACCTCTGTGATCTGAACCTTAAGATCTAAATTTGTGAATGTAATCCTGCGGGGAATTAATTTCTCCTGCTCATCATCACTGTTAAATTTACTACAATT